CTAAATTTGGTTTTCAGTGTTCATTCTCAAATCCCTTAGTTGATTGGTTATGGTTTCATTGGACTCCCTTTCCTTCTGTTGGGCTTCATTCAGCATTCCCTTTGTGGCCTCCCTGGCTTGCTCCAGCTGTCTGTTTGTGGATTTCATGAATGCCTCAATTATTCTTTGTCTAATCTCATCCCACTCACTCAATTCCTCTATTAATCTTAGATTAGCCTCATCACACTCATGATATTTCTGTATTAATCTTTAGTTAGTTTCATCACACTCATGCATTTTCTTACCATGCTCACAGTGAGACCTTTGCAGGCTTTCAAACTTTTTGTTCAGCATGTTTACCAGTATTGTTTGTAGACCATTTAGGGAACTCTCCTCTGGGTTATTCATTGACTGCTCTGTTGCCTGATTGTCATGAGCTGGAGTTGAGATATCTGCACCTGCCAGTTTTCTTGTGTTTCTGCTTGTTCTGCCCATTTGGGTATGATAGCAAAACCGATTCTTAGCTAGAACACTATTTTAAGGCAAGCATCAGCCAGAGCTTTGTAGTTGCTCAGATTGTTTGATCTAGTCAAAATGTGTACGGATACCATATAGTTCAAAAGATACAATCTAGTTCAACAACAAACATCTAGGGATCAATAGACTAAAAAAAAATTAGGGAAGGGGTCAGCAGACCAGAAATATAGGTTTAGGGAGAATTGTGAGGAAAAAAATAAGATTGGAGGAATGTATAGAGGCAAAGGGAGGGATAGCAGGAAAGGCAAAGAGAGATAAAGAAAAAGGAAAGATTAAAAATAAAAAAATTTAAAATGAAACAAAACAATGTAAGTATAAAGAAATAATTCTACAATTAACAGAGTTAAGGCTGGGAGGTTGCGAATCAGGTGATCAATATCTGAATTAAGTATGCACACAATGAAGGGTAAGGACTAATAATCAAAGAAAGATATATATCTTGGAATGAACTGAACAGCAATAAATAATGCAAAACAACAACAACAAAAGTAACCTACAAGGACCAAAAGGGGAAAGAGTATAAAGAGAATATAAAAAAAAAAGGAAGCAACAACAATATCAAAAACAAAAACAAAAAAATAAAATAAAAATGAGGAAAATAGACAACAGTTTAAAAAAATTAGGCAGAAAAAAGTTTTTCAAAAAAAAAATTGGGGTGTGGGGAGGGCAAGTGCGGTCCTTGTCTCTCCCCTGTGTCGGTAGTCAGTCTTTTGGTGGTGAAGTCTTTGGTTTGCTTGTGGTGTTTGGTTACCTTGTGGCTTGGTTGTTTTCTTAAATCAGTTTATTTGAGCAGGGGGAAGGAAGCTCTGCCTCACTGGGAGGTTTATGTCTCTCCTCCCAGGCTAGTTCAGTGGGAGGGTGATCTACTGTGAGTATCACAAAAGGGCAAGGTGGCTGTTTCCTCTAGCTTTGAGTTGCTGTGAGGGGTGCTAGGTTGTAGGTTGGGCTATGGCCTGTCAGCTTTACCCTGAGCGGCTAGCTCCTGAGAGACTCAATCAGCCAAGCCTGGAATCTATCTCAGGATTTCTGTGTACCAAGTTTCCATTTGCTCAAGGGCTGGAGTTGCTTCCAGTGCAGCAGCTGGGAAGGGTAGCCTCTGGCTCTGTTTACCAGCTAAGGAGAGTCTGCCCTGCCCTTGCAGAGCTGCCTCTGCTTGGGAGAGGCAACTCTCCCCAAGGGTGGAGTTGAGCCCTGACACAGGTCAAAATTGTGCTAGCTGCTCCAGCCTGGTCTGGGTCAGTAGCAAAGTGGAGTTTTTCTCTGGTGCTAGGGAAGGGGCTACCTTCCCACTGCTGCTTTGTGAGAAAGAGTGAGGATGTCTTGGGGTACTCAGGAATTGTCGTCCATGTCCACAGTCTGTGACTATCTGTGGTAGGCCGGATGAAGATTTCTGCTCCTTGTCCGTTCTTGCTGGCAGTGAGTAATTCACTCTGGTGCCTTTGTCCTAGGCTCTCTGTTTTGAATATGGCGACCAGCAGCAGCCCCCACTGCCTGCAGCAGACCCAAACTGGGGTTGCTTGAATCTGTGTCTTTAACTAAGCTGCCAAAGTTTCCTCTCTGGCCAAATTCTCTGTACTAAGATGACACACTTGGCATGTTTTCTAGCTTTAGATGTTCCACTGGAATACTAATATTGGTTCCTATGGAAGAGCTTGCTTAGCCTCCAGCCTCTCCTCTGCCATCTTCCTCTCTTCTCTGGGTGTTACCTATTTCTATTAGATTTATACTTGAACCTTGCAAGAATTTAATACAGGACAAAATGTAATAAATCATTAAAGATTTTGAGGGCAACAAACTGTAGTTCTTTTGTAAACAATGTAGGGAATGTTGTTTAATATTCTGTAGTCAACACAAATGCAAATCAAAATCATGAAGGTACTAGGACTGGTCATTACAATTTCTAAAGATAGGATTTCTTGAAATTTCCAACTGTGACACACATAAAAAATTATCATTTAAGTTTTTAGCCCAGTTATTAATGGGGTGGTTGTTTCTTTGAGGATTTGTTTTTTGGGAAGATAATTTAGTTGTTGGTGGTGGTGGTGGTTGTGGGGCTTGAACTCTGGGCCTGGGCGCTGTCCCTCAGCTCTTCAGCTCAAGGCCAGCACTCTACCACTTGAGTCACAGTGCCACTTCTGCCTTTTTCTGCTTATCTGGTGCTGAGGAATTGAACCCAGGGCCTCATGCATGCAAGGCAATCACTCTACCACCGAGCCATCTTGCCAGCCACAAAAGGGAGGGTAATTTTTTGAGCTCTAAGTATATTTTAGATATAGCCCTTGTCTATTTTATAGCTTGTGAAGATCTTCTCCTAGTATGTGGACTTTCTATTGATCTTGCTAGCTATGTCCTTTGCCATGCAGAACCTCTGCAGTTTAATGAAATGCCATTTATCCAACCTTTCTTTGATTTGTTTTGTTTCTGGGTCTTTATTGAGAATGTTTCAATTTGTGCCAAGGAGCCCTAGTGTTTCCCCTATTCCTTCTTGTAGTTTTTTCAGGGTATCTGATTTTACATCGAGGTCTTTGATCCATTTGGAGTTGATTCTGTTACAGGGCAGTATATAAGGATCCAATCTCAATTTTCTACACTAAAGACTTAAAGAGATACTCCTCTGAAGAGGAAATAAAAATGGCCAATAGACACAGAAAGAAATGTTCAACATCTCTTCCCATAAAAGAAGTACAAATAAAAACTACATTAAGATTCCACCTCACCCCAGTTAGAGTGGCCATTATCAAGAAAACTAATAATAACTGATGTTGGAAGGGATGTGGCTAAAAGGAAATGCTATTACATTTTTGGTGGGAATGTAAATTTGTTCAACCACTCTGGAAAGCAGTATGGAGATTCCTCAAAAGACTAAACCTAGTGCTTCCCTATGATGATTCAGCAATCCCACTCCTGGGCATTTACCCAAATGACCACAAAAAAGGCCATACTAAAGCATCTAGCACAACTATGTTCATTGCAGCTTATTTATCATAGCTAAGATATGGAATCAATCCAGATACCTCTCAATGGATAAAAGTATTTTAAAAAATTTGGTTTACATACATGCTAGAATTCTATATTTCCATTAGAAAAAATAGCATAACCCCATTCTTAAGGAAATGGAAGACTTGGAAAAAATCTTATTAAAGGAAGTAAGCCAGACCCAAAGAAACATAGGATGCCTGGTTTACTTGTTTGTAGTAAATGGTATATGTCTAGGATAGTTCAAACAGAGGATCACAATAGCTCAATGCTATGTATAAATGGCCTTATAAAATGATACTGATCTAAATATGAAAACAAGAAGTTTTTGGATTTTTTCTTAGTGTACTGTGTGCAGTTATTTCTTTTATCTTTTGTTCTCCCACCTTTCTGGTTTACCCCCTGTTGTCACTGTTTTATTTCAGTACCCTTTGTATTGTACTGTATATAAATTTATCTGATTTGCATATAAGTTTATCTAATTTGAGGATGAGAAGGGGTATCACAGAAATGGTAAGACAAATAACAAAGGGTGAACTAATTCAAAACTGATACTTAGAAGACACCATGTTGGAAATGAACTTTTCAACTCAAGAGCAGGGGAATATGGGGCAGGAAGTAGGAGAAAACAAGGCAGGGTAACAATATTCTACAAGAAATATACTCATTATTTGTGTAACTGTAACCCTTTTGTACATCACCTTTACAATAAAAAAGAAAATCTACCAAAAAAAGAAAAGAAAAAGAAAACATGACCATTGAGACACAGAAAGGACAGGAGCCCCTGGGTTTCAGCCCTTTTTTTTTTCTCTTTTTTTTCTTTTTTTTTTTGTGAACATACTGTACAGAGAGGTTACAATTACATGGGCAGGATAATGCGTACATTTCTTATCAAGCATTGCAGCCTCCTCCTTTGTTTACCCTTCACATCCCTTCCCAGCCTCCCCCCCCACCCCCCACCCACTCCTTCTCACCCCTCCCTCCCCCCACACCAACGTTGTAAAGAGGATGTATAGGCTAAGTTCACCATGGATAAGAACTGACAAGAAGCTACAGCATGGGAAAGTCAAGTGAATTTTAAAACATCATGCTGAATATTTGTGTTTGTGATCATTCTAATATCAGTCAGAAAGTGCATCAGCAAATGCCAAGATTACAGTAGCTGAAATTACAGAATGTGTTTAATTTCATATTAGGTTGGGAAAATAATACTTCCAAAATTTCTTATATGCACTGCTATTTAATGGTATGTGTCACATTTCTATGGTTGTCCGTATTTACTTGAATCTAAGGATGCCTCCTACTTGCTTGAAATTATCTCATATCTAGGTCTATGCAGGTTGTTTCATCTAACAGCAGAAAGCTGTATAAAAGGAAGTGATAACATTTGAGTTTGGAGGCTGATGCTTATATGGATTGAAAGAAGAACTTTTCCACATATATTGTCATGTGTGTACATACGTGAATGCATGAGGTGTTGATTTCTTTTTCTTCTTTCATACCTGCAGGCAGAACGCCTTTCAGGTTGTTGCTGTGGATGGTGTCTGCAGTGGAATTATTCAGTGCCTCTCTACGGAAGACTCTATTGACTGGCTACAAGCAATAGCAACTAATATTTCAAACCTCACCAAGCACAATGTAAGTAGTGTTTCAAGGAGTAACTACGTATGTAGCTATTAAGGTTTCTAGCCTTCACAAAATGTCTTAATATGTACTTACCATCCCATCAACTGCTTGGTGCTCATCCAAGAAAGAATCATTTCATGTCTTTTGTGAAACCCCTTCTGGAACACTGATTAGAAAAAAATTAACTTTAGAGTCTCAATATGCTATTAGTTCAAGAATTATGTCCTATATAGGTTTTCTTTAGCAAAAATCTCAACTATCTGTTTCAGTTATGTAAATCTAAGAATTTAGTGCAACAACACTAAATATACTAAAATAAAAATCCTGGGCTAATTCATAACTAAATTTCAAAAGAGTAAATTATTGATTGCAGAGCTGAATTATTTAAAGTTGGTGGATGCAAGTGTGGAAAGAGTTAACACAGACATTGGTGTCTTGTATGGTAATTTGTAGGCATAAAATAGATGTCATTGTAAATCTAATAAATTGCATAGTAGAGCTGGGTCTCTATTTTCAGGAATTACTCTTATATTTTATCTATCTCCAACCTTTTTCTTTTGTCATTTTTCATATTTTATCATTTCCTTATGTGTTATTAATAAAATATACTCTCCAGATTACTTCCAAAGGTGTAGTCTGAAAAAATATATACCATAAACCTCACTTCATTAAATTGTGATTTTGTGTGTGCTAGAACTGAGGCTTGAACTGATGGTATCCCTTACCTTTATTGTTTGGCTGCTGCTCTACCACTTGAACTAGAGCTCCACTTTTAGCATTTTAGTGGTTAGTTGGAGATAAATCTTGGATTTATCTCCCTAAGCTGTCTTCAAACTACTATCCTCGGATCTCAGTCTCCAGCATAGCTAGGATTACAGGCATGAGATGCTGGCACCTAGCCATTTCATTAATTACTGATATAGTATCATTATAGAGTGTTCTATTAATATGTGTAAAAAATTCTCTATCATTCACATCTTTGTTGACTTCTCTCCCCAAACTGTTCTATGACATGTTGGAGCTTTTAAGAAACTCTCACAGAATTTCAGACATATGTAGAAATAGATGCATCAATTAGTAAATGTACAAAGTTTTCTTTATGTCAATGGCCTCCACTGAGCCCATGTATCTTTGTTGCTCAGATGTTAATTGAAACCTAAGAATGGAAGCAAAAAGAAAGACAGCCAACAGTTGTGAGGGACAGATGTCTTGTTTTCAGATCACAACTGTTTTGAAGAATGCTATTATCTATGCACATTGGTGCTCTAAGTAGTGAATATAGTCAACGAATACACAATCAGTTTTTCCAGAAAATGCCTAAGGTTGTTTCTGATGTCTAGATTTTGAGTTTGAGGGATGGAAAATCACATCTCAGCTTGGCCTTTAACACCTTGTCTTAGGGCCTAAGTCTCCTTCATGTTTGAATTACAGTCATGTGACACAAGTGTTTTCAAATGGGTGTGCAGTATACCTTCTGACTCATTGCTTACAAGTCCTTCTACAACATCCATTCTCAATACTCAGTGTCATATTACTATTTTAATTATGGTGCTTTTAGCATATGTGAAATTTTATCTCACTGTAGTATCCATAAAGGTAGATGCATGTTTTATGCTTTTTTGTTTTGTTTTGTTTTGTTTTGGTGGTCCCTGAATAGGTATAAATACTCTTATATCCTTACCTGGGGGCATCACCCAGTAAGGAGAGATCTGATTATGCCTGGATTTGGCAAGCGAAATGATTCTCTATGGTTTTGCTAGTGCGGTGTTGCCCTGTTAGAGCTAAAGTTTTGATCCAAAGGAACAAATGAAGGGACAAAAGAAATCCATTGTTTCCCTATGGATTTTGCTTTTTCTCCTGTGTTGCAAGAGTCTTTCTAGGTATAATCCATTCTATTCATATTGATGATTTTATTGAAGCAATATTTAGAATGTTTTGAAATGTTGTCTTATCCTACATGTATGAGAAAAGGTATTTTTAAGAACAATATGTTAAGGTTTAAATTGTTAAAATTTTCTCTGTACTTAAAAACCACATTTTCATTGGCCTAAAATCATATGGGCACTCTCATAAAATCTATTTCCAGGAAACACTTCAGCAGAAACACTGACAGAGTTTGAAAATTCAGTTCTTGAGTTAAATAAAAGAGAAGCCTAGCACCTGTGCCTCCTGTAAGCCTAGCTACTCAGGAGGCTGAGATCTGGCAGATTACAGTTTGAAATCAGCCTTGTCAAAACAGTGTGTGAGACTCCATCTCTAGAATAACTAGGAAAATGCTGGATTGAAGGTGTGTGAATCATGTAGTATAACACCAAACAAGCAAACAAGCCTCATATGCATGAAACTGAGTTCAAAACCTAGTATTTCCAGTAAATAAATATATATGCAGATACAAATGCCATTCAACTCTGTAAGCTTAAGGAAGGAGAAGCCAACGTTTATTGCTTGTTTAATAGTCCTCTAATAAGTGTTCAACAAGGCATTTAGGAAATCAGGTAATGCTTCATACTACCTTGTTTTAACTGCTTGGAAATCCATGTGCTGCTACATTATAAATCATCTAGTTTTTTTCTTTCATTTTGCTGTAATTCTATTTTAATTTCATCTTTTTTTCTTGTAATGAACTCTCACTCACAAGTACTCACAAAGTAGTCTGATATGTAAAGTGCTATACAAATGTTGAAAAGAGACAGGACATAGCAGTAAAAATGTGAAAGTCACATTAATGTCAGAGAAGGCATGATGCATACCAGTTTGAGCTCTCAGTTTTTCTTATTCCAAAGTAGATATACATGGCATAAATCCACAGATGTAACCTTTTCTTCACTTGTCATATTCTGAGTCAATGGATGAATGGCTTATCCACTATTAATAAGTGCAAAAGAATAATATGACAAATACACAAAATAGTACTGAATAAGCCAGGTTGTGATGATTCATGCCTGTTATACCAGCTACTCAAGAGGTTGAAATCCAGAGCTTTTCGGTTCAAAGTCGTCTGAGGCAGAGAAAAATTGTGTGTGTGTGTGTGTGTGGTTTATCTTATATAAAAACACATTTGAAAGCTGAAATACACATAAAACAAGTTGTATATGTTTTCAGCAAACTACATGACTGAAAGATATAAAGTATACTTATAGGTATACAAATAATAACTAGAAAGGATATTTGAAGTCAGAACATTTCAGAGACTGTTTAATAATGATTCATGTTTTAGAGTAAAGACAGAAGAGACATGACTGAAGGTATAAGCAAGCAAAAAAATAAACATATGCCATGTTAAAATGAGTGGAATAGCCCATGAATGACAAAAAATTCCCTGAATAATATGTTAAACATTTCCTTCCCTTTGCTCACTGACTTAACATTTGTGATTTTCATACCCACTTGTATATAATTTCACATTGAAGAAGAGAGTGAATTTAGCAACCCACATTTCCCTGCCTCCATGGCAGCAGTGGTGTGGCAGACTGGCTATGGAACATCATGGGCTGGAGTCTCCTCCCTAAATCCATCATGCAGGATGTCCTGCAAAGGGCCCTGACGTGGCATGTTCTCCTGATGTGCCCGTGACCTTGTCTGAATATCACATGCCTGCTGTCACATGAAAATGAGAAGAGAGAAGAAAAGAGTAAGTAAGAAAGGAGGTGGAGAGAGAAAAGAAAGAAGGTGGGGAGAGAGAGATACAGCTGAAATAGGAAACACAGGTCAACATACTACTCATTATTTTATTTTGATTTCTTTCTTTGTCTTTGCTATAATATACTCTTTTTGCAGTGGGAAAGCACAGCAGCAGTGGGTTTGATTCTTCTTTGATACAACTGGAAAAAAATACCTAATTTTAACAGAAAATAGTTACTAAGAATAATTAAAACTGTAACCCCTGTTCATCACCTTTACAATAAAGATACATAATTAATTAATTAATTAATTAAAAGTAACTTGCATTTGTTGGAAATGCCCCATACAAATCTAGGGGGAATTAAGTTATTTTCAGGCAAACAGTATAATGAAAGGAATCAGCAAAAAAGAACAGATATTTGGAAAGGAAATATTCAAGAGTGCTTTTTAGGTATAGAACATACAGTTAACACATGATGTAGTGAAAAACTGACATGAGAGTAGTCCAATTTATGATGTTTGAATGAAGTGGTAACAAATTTTTGTAGCATTCAGATAAATAAAATCAATATAGATAATAAAAACTCAAAGTAAGTAAACATGAAACTTTGATATGCCACAAACATATGTCATATTTACCAAACAAATTCCCACTTATTCAGAATATGTGATTTCAAAATTATAAGAAATAGTATAAAACTAGTGCTCATACAAACTAAAAGAAATCCACAAAACAAGAAAAAAAAGCAAAGCAAAACAGAAAGTTAGACAAGCAGGAAGCACATAGATGATAGTTTAGGTTCATATATTCTAATTCTAATAAACTCAAGTAGATCATATGTAAACAATGTAGTTTTACATACAAACTAATCATTTCTATATAAAATCAATCAGAATGAAAAAACAGTATATACAGTATCCTTTTAGAAAGGAAATTCTACAGCCTCCTTTACAATGCTCACTAGGAAATGGACTCATTACCTTGCCCATGTAACTGTAATCCCCCTGTACAGTATCTTTACAATAAACAATATATGTTAAGAAAAGAAATAAGAGAAACTCTAGAATGAAGATATTGCATACACGAAAGTTCCCAAAACTATAATGCAAATAATGAAATATTTAGGAATGTTGCTAATTTCCACAAAGTGAAATTTATAGCAAGCATATTACTAAAGATAGATTATATCACTTCAGAGTAATAAAACAATTCATTAGGAAGATGAAACAAATTTAAATGTTGATATATGTGGATTAAAAATATTGATCATGGGGGCTGGGAAGGTGGCTCAGTGGTAGAGCGCTTGCCTTGCATGCTCAAGACCCTGGGTTTGATTCCTCAGCACCACATAAGCAAAAAGAAAAAAGCCGGAAGTGGCGCTGTGGCTCAA